CTATGTCGCCCCCTGGTGGTCGAAAATATCCCGCTACGACAGGGACTTCCTGCCTCAAATCACCAAAATAGTCGTGGTCGTCATCCGCGCCTTGGACCAGCGCATACAAGCTCTCGATCTCCCCTCTCTAGTCTTCCACGATGCTCCTGCTATCCTGACCCAGCACTACCACGACTACCGCAATGCCGCCGCCAAGGCTTCCACATCCTACGCCACCGGCGGCGCTGCCTCTCTACCGGTCCTCTTCGCCCACCTCCAACCACACATGGCCATCTCGCCGGACGGCGTCTTGGACCCAGAATATTATCGAACCATCGTCGACCATATTCTCAAGGCCTGCCTACCCCCCGAGGATTACGAGCCAGAAGCAGAACGCATTATCGTTCGAGAAATAATCGTCAAGGTCCTCCTCAACGACCTGATTCCTCGGATTACCCAGCCGTGGTTCATTCACAAGGCAATTCTGGACCTCATCGGTCCACAGGAGACCCCTATCTACAAGGTACGTCGGACGCCCTCCAAATCGAAACCCCTTAACACCTCACTCGCAGTCACAGCCTGTAACTCCAGCCGCCTCATCCCAGCCATTTTCCTTCCATAACATTATTGTCATCGTCCTTTCAGCCCTCCAGTCCTTCTCCGGCATGTGCCTTGCTATAATCCACGCTTACAAGCAAGCTATCACGACCATAAAGCTCGTCCAGCAATCCCCTCCTCGGTCACCTCAGCCCCCCACTCTAGCCGTACCAACGCCGACCCACCTTCCACCCGAACTACTAGCTCCTGCTCTAGCTTCTAAGCCATCACAATCTCGGCATACACCGTCTCTCAGCAACGCCCCATCAACCACCTCGACTTCATCCCTTCCCTCCTCGTTTTCCACCGCAGCCTCAGCAGTCCCCGTGCAACCTTCCTATCTTACGTCGATATCTCATTCAGCAGAGCTTACCGACCACAACTACCCCGCCCCGCTCCTTGCCCTCCTCTCCGAAATCATCTGTGCAACAGACCGCTTCACCGCTACCGTCCTCTTCACCACCCTTTCCATGCTGGCGGCGTGCTTCACGTCGTTCCTCGACAAGCTCCTGCCCCACATGCTTTTCAACTTCCTTTCGCCAGCCTTCGTCTTCAACATCACAAGAACGGGAAAGAGGACCCTGTTCCCGAATGGGTATCCTGGCCCGCCGCCAATAGACCCTTCGCCAGAGGAACAGGCGGAGATACGAGCGCGGTTGCTCGCATGGAGGGGGAAAGCTGGCCTTGGTCTGTATTCCTGCCCTCTTTGATTCTCTGTTCCTCGCTTACAGACTTCCGCAGCGCTCGTCCTGCCTCTCCTGGTAGGGCCTGATCCCTCTCAGACGATTGCACAGGCATTGGAGCCCCTGAGCAACGCCCAATGCAACCGCCACCTCATCGTCTTCCTCCTCGACCGAATACTCATCGGCTTGTTTCCTGAGCTCGGCGGTGCGGCGATGTCGTCATGAATACTGGTATTCTTATTTCCATTTTCACAACACCTCATGTATCTGTAATCTACTTCACGAAATTTGACGACTAATTCCATGTGCAGGACATCAACTTTATACGCGAAAAGTATGCATAGCAGCAAAACATAGGGAAACCCAGAGCACGATAGCATGTCCATCCGCAGAATCCCTCTCCTTCCTGGGCTCCTTTCCACCTTCGAGCCCACCTTTCCTTCCCTCCGGTAAATAGCGAGGCAAAAGAAGTAACTATGGACAGCGAAGGAGTTCAAAAAGGCCCGTTCTCCTCCAGCGGCGGGCTGTATGTGTATGTACAATGAAGGCGAAGAACGGGCAGATGATACTCGAGACCTATACACAATGATGACGGAGTCAAGGCGAGTCTGGTATATGCAGGAGAAGACAGCGGGGCTGTCTTCATCCCGCGAGTATGGTACAGTTATTGATTCTGTTGTTGGTCGGCGAACGGGCTTGCTGATTGAAGAACACGGAGTCGACGCCATGAG